TCTTTTACTTTCTCAATTCAAGAAAAAATGCACTTATTTTAAGAAGCAATTACTTATATAGATTTTGATTTTTTTCCAGTGTAATGATCTATTGATTATTCCTCGCTGAACTGACTTTTCCTTTAATTGATGGCTTCCTGCAGAAACCTCCTCAGGCTTTAGTTTTGAAGATGAAAGACAAACGTCTGCTTTCTGCATTTTATGTGACCCAATGAGTCAAACCGCAGCAAACATCAGCACCGCACCTCGTCTTCTCCTGAGGATAGTAAAACATGTCTGAGTTCAGCAGAAGAATGTCCCCAGCGCTGGTTGTTCAATAAACAAGGTTCCTTTCCAAGGCTTTAGTGTTAGAAAGGATCTGTTAGCTTTAACGCCTTTCGATTGGACACCATAACCGCAGCCTTTGGTCTTCCCACAACTACATGAGACATTCTACAGATTCCTGTAGACTTGCTTTCATCGACATGTGAAAATGTGGGACAGATGCGCTGAGCAGCGGCACGCGGGCGGGCCTCAGTGACTCAGGGTCCTTCAGGCCCAGAGTGACTGTTAAACCTATTGAGTCAGAGCAGTATCTGCCTGGGTCCGCTCACAATGCCACTGGGACGGATGGAACGGAAAGGCTGGTTTTTCAGGGTTTTCTCAATCTCTGTGTGTTTGAGACACGATGCATGTCCAACCATAAAAGGGTGACTTTATTGTTCCGTTGGACTTAAGGGAAGAGCGTTCATTTGAATAATTTATGGTGTTTTTAATGGTCTAGTGACAGACCCCTCCCCCATTGGCTCTCATAATCTCAATCCTCCCCAAAAGATGGTCAGCTGCATATAGCTGCATCGCTAAAAATCTCATTTTACATTATTTTACCGCTTTTAGATACATTCTGGATGTTTGCCTTTAAGGCTTTTGTTTTGTCTGGTTACAAATCAGCTTAAAGTAAATCTTTATTCATATTTAAGCTCGGCGGTGCAGCTTTATGGGCTGTGATCGGACCCAAATTACTTTTATTCATCTGTTTATTCTGCTGGCAAATGCAGAGAGACTGTATATAATACCGTTGGTGTAAATTGTTATTGCAATCTTATCCTCACGGGTCAGATTTCTTTAGTTCCCACCTTTTCTTACATAGTTTCAGACCTGATGCATGTGGGACCTGCATCACCAGACTGTTGTTTCTTGTAGCATATCCCAAAACATCAGATATTATCCGTTTGTCACCAATAGAAGGAAGTGAATGATAAACTTATTTGCACAGCACATTTTTGTAGAATAAATGTCAAAATCATGCACATTTATGCTCTTTATTGTTGCTAGGATACATTTATTTAAAGAAATAAACCAGTTTGTTGTAGAAGCATGAAGCATGTTACTATGAGATTATGATTTTAGCTGCTAAGTTATTCCTCAGCAGGTCACTTAACATTTTAGAGCTGCTGTGTCTGTGCAGCATCAAATGATAAGGTGGTCTGCCTTCAGCAGCGACTGCATGAATACAAACAGCAGGGCTTCCTGTAAAACGCCACCATAACTTTCCTGTACCTGTGCAGAAGATGAGCTCTCACAGGATATGGTCTCTCATGCATAACAGCTTCCACCTTCTCTACGGCAAAGACAAGCAAGGTCCTATTTGCACACAGCAACCCCCCCCTACCACCACAAATTGAGTCTGAGTTTTCTCTCGGTTACCAGGGAACCCTGCTGGTGTTAAAAAGCAAACATTTATCTGCCTGAAAACCGAGGACAGTTGGCTCTATTTAGATCTGCTTCCCTTCAAGTTTCTTGAATGAAATGCTCCTTCTCGGTTAAATCTTTTTTTTTCTTCCTTCTGTTATTAAAGTTTACATAATCTTCTTCACTGTCAAATGGGCTGTAAAGTGCGGGTTTACTTCCAATCACGAAGCTATAAACTCTTGGTTTGGATGCTCTGTTGTGTTATTGGCTGATGGACATCTGAAGAGATGATGCTGATTTTCTGTATGGACCAACAGAAACCCACTGCAGATCTGTAATCTGCTGAGTGGACTCTAAAGTTAGACAGCTTGTCTGCTTGCTATGTTTTTCCAGGAAAGGGGGCTTTAAACACACATTTGCTTGATTAGTGTTGTTTCTGTGTGAAGGGCTGCAATGACAGTGCTGGTCTAGTCCAGGGATAAGTGAGAAAATTCACATCTTCACCAGGCGTTGTTCAGAGATTTTCATTTCCATGCGGTTGGACTGGATTGTCCAGGGAACAGTGTTGTGCTGATCAAGAAGAAGATGAAGAAGGAACCGCTCAGTCATGGAACCCGCAGACATATATATACGTAGATGCCTCGTTTGGCGCAGGATCGCACGTCGACGTCACCGCCATATTGTATGTGGCAGAAGGCAGTTGTCAAACTGGACACACTAATACTCCATTTACACTACCCTTGAAAAACCGTGCTGAGACCGGTCCGAGCTCAGTAACTGAGATAACTTATCGTGTGTAGATGGAAAGCAAACTGAACCGAACCGAGCTAGACACAACCGGACCGAGCTAACTGCAGACCAGTTCCAGAGGTGGGCTCGGCTTGGTTCTCTGATAACAAGAGCGCATGCGCAGAACGTGTCATCTCCGTCTGGCTGCACATCGCGATTCACACTCCATTCCAGTAGGTGGCAGTAATGCCCCTCCGGAAG